TGGTGATGATGATGATGGCAATGATTCAAATTTAAAACATGATACAATAATGGTCACTAATAAAAATACAGGTGATTTTAATCTATTTTTCAAAAAATTCAATTGTTTAGTTTTTCATATTATTAAGAAGAACCAACAATACAAACATCATCAAATTTAATATGTCATCAATTATCATCACTTAGTCGAATGTCTTCCTATACATTAAATAATGAACAAGATTTTAAAACTAATTCATCAATGTTCAATTTTTCAACAAATGATGAACCGACAAAATGGCGTCCAAATACATTAAAATATCATATTGAAAATTTATTACAGTAACTTAATATTGATATAAAAATAATATTTATTAAAAAAAAAAATAATAATTGTCTTTCATTAAAAAAGAAAATTTCCAGATGATAAACATCAAATAGTATTTATGTGCTAAAATGTATTTATCAGATAGGAAAGAAATCAATATATCTATTGAAAATATATCAACAATATAATTCGATTTTTAGACTATGTTTCAAAATACGTAGTGAAAAATCTCCAGCAGACTATTGTTGTTTTTCAAAGATAAATGATCAACAGCGAAGAATCCTGTCTTATTATTTCGTATTCCGTTTTCCTTAATTTAACTGGCAAATAAGCCTGTTGTGCATATATAAATTTTTCAATTTTCAATGAATGCTTTTGAACTTCCTGGAACAGCCTAGGTCTTATCATAAATACCATTTAGCGCCTTTTTCCATTGCAAAGGAGTCTGACGCCTGCTGTTCTTAGCTACTATAGATGGATAGAGCTGTTTCCATGAAGTACTACTATTCTTTATGGTATAGAGCTTATATTTTGGGTACATACGTGCAATAATAAATCTTGAACGAAAGTACCAACTTACTCTCCATCGATTCATATATACTGAAGTTATGATTGAACAATCTTCTTCAATAGAAATATGTACTCAAAAAGTTTTTATTCGTCATTCTACTATTGCAAAAGTCATTACTAGTTTTCTAGTACTAAAGATAGTCCATATGTCATCTCTATTTTATTATCAAAGCCCATAACACATAGTAATTAATACGTCATGAGACAGTGAACTCATGTTGTAGTTCTAACTCGACTTCATTCAGTGTTGTGAATCGAAAACTTTTAGATAAGACTCGCCGTTTCATAGGAACTTTTTATTAAAATTTTCAAATGAATTACTTGAATTCATCGTGAAAAAGATCCATCTTACTAAAACTCAATATTTGCTCTTCCACAGATATTCTTAATGAGAAGATGATATCTCAATTATTTCAAAGTGATTTCTAACAAATTTCAGACTAGAGATAGATATAACATTCAGTTTTCGAATGAGAGATTATAAAAAGAGTTCTTGGACCAACATAGATTAAGATGATGTACAGGTCTTAACTTCAGTACATGTATATCTATGGAGAGTGGATTGACAGTTACAATTACGGTTTACTGTCGTATACGTACACGCTAAAAATCATACAGGATAGAAGCATTTCATGGGACAACTAATTTTGTTCAGAACTATATTTAAATTACTAACAATGGAACGGTTTGTATTGATAAGCGAGTTGGACGACCATT